AGATGTGACGTTGTATGGGGATGGAGAAACTCTCGCACATCAGCGTCGGTTAAACATTATATACGGATGTTTCTTGCCACTATTGGGCAAACAGGTCTGATCTAGTACTACAATTAGTCTTAAAAAATAGGTAATTAGGTTTTTTCATCTTCATGTAAACCACAATGATTTCCCTCATGTGTTAATATTTTTCCTTGTTATAATGTATGATTTGCAAAAATTAAAAACTGCTGCATCTGTGTTGATGAGAGAATCAGTGTATGCGCGCTGTGCACCCGCTGCATTATGGGCAAGCATGCGCGCTTAAAATAGCATTATGAACAACGCGCAACACGCCACTGACTTTAGACCAGGTGTTTTCTGGTCAGTGGCGCAATTGTGTTCTGGAAGTGTAAATTAGCACCAGGGAATGTTTGCGCCGAAACACGCCTCCTTTTAGTGCCGATCCGCCCAGGGAGCCCAAGTTCATTCCCTAGTTTACCGACGTGCGTCTGTGGAGGAGAAATTCACGCTTTGCGCGCGTGCAAAATAGGAATGAGACATGCGTTTGTGTATAAAGTCATTTGCGCCGGGTGCAAGATAGGGCCCTTTGTCTTTAATGGCTACGGGAGCCCCTGGCTCAGTCGTTCAATGGTAATGCTGATTGGATTAGGATTGGTATCACTCTCAGTCTAGGGCAGGTTTCTAAACCTGTACACTTCATTTATATGCTTTTTCAATAGTGTCTCATCACAATGTAAATCCATGCTCTTAAATGCATATACAGTAGATTGCAAGGGAACGTTCCCTTAGTCAGACTTGACTTGATGACTGCATCTACCAACAGCTTGTGTCTTCCAAGTCTTCCTGAATTTCCTACACTTCTAGCAGCTCAATAGCGATGTAAAGAACTGTATGCTTGATCCGTTCCAACAGCTTCTTTTGTTTGAGTAAGCCTCACGCAGCTTCCACCTTCTTCTCCATCCTCCTGATAGCCCTACACCCTCAGATGCAGCAGACCTTTGCTCCAGGTTTTTGGATTTTTTCAGCAGAAATTGGACACCATCCTGTTCACTGCAGTACCCCCTATCCATGTTCTCTCCACTGGATGCTGATCCAGTAACAAAACTGGTTATCTCAGCCAAGACTTCAACCAGCAGTCTTGACCCAATGCCCACCACCCTGGACAAAGCCTGTCTTCACATCGTCTGCCACCCAATGCAAAACATCAGAAATGCATCTCTTAACTCTGGCGTGGTACCATCCAGCTTTAAAATGGTGGCAGTCATCCCCACTATCAAAAAGCCAGGCTCAGATCCAGACGACCCCAACTATTGTACAATCTCCAACCTCACTTTCCTCAGCAAAATCCTGGAAAGAGCAGTGGCTGCCCAGCTTCAAGATTACATGTCCCACCATGAGCTCTTCGAACCTCTCCAATCTAGTTTCAGAAGACACCATAGTATTGGGACCGTCCTCATCAAAATCACTAATGAGTCAAGTCAAGTCACATTTATTTATATAGCGCTTTTCACAATACAGATTGTATCAAAGCAGCTTCACAGTGATAACATGAAAGTAGCACAACACAGATCAATAATATTGTAAATATTAAATATCCCCAACTGAGCAAGCCAACAGTGGCAAGGAACCCAAACTCCATCAGATTGGATGGAGAAAACAACCTTGGGAGAACCCAGGCTCAGTCGGGGGCCAGTTCTCCTCTGGCTTACATTCATATTGTTTATATATAAATATTAAATATAAATATTGTTTATATATAAAACAGCGCCTTAATGACCTCCTGCTGGCTGCTGACAACAGCCTCCTCACCATCGTCATCACCATCCTCATCTTCCTTGACCTTTATTCAGCTTTTGTTTCACACACCATCCTTCTCCACCGCCTTTCTGAGCTCATCAGCCTCAGTGGCACAGCTCCAGTCCTATCTCAATGACCGGAAACAATTCATAACCATAAATGGCTCAAATTCTGATTGTCAACTGCCTGCAGGACCTCAAACCATGGATGACCACACCTACTCAAACGGAACAGTAATAAGTCAGAACTCATGGTGGTGGCCCCAGCACCACGGATCAGGAAAGTTGGAGACCTGGCCCTGGTTGTGGATGGCTGCTCCATTTGCCCATCTCCTGGGATGGGCAAACTGGGGGTCATCCTGGACGCCACTCTACCTTTCCGGTACCACATCAACAACACCCCCAAAGCTGCCTTCTGCCACCTCAGAAACATCTCACGACTCCGGCCTTCACTCGCAGATGCGGTATCTGAGACAGTCATGCATGCCTTTCTTAATGCATGACCTCCCGTCTAGATTACTGCAATGGTGTCCTGGACCACCAAAGCCCTTAGCAGACTCCAGTATGTCCAAAAACTGGGTTCTAACCCACACAAAGCCCTGGCAGCATATCAGTCCCATCATCCAACAGCTCCACTGGTTTCCAGTCAAGCCACACATCACATACAAGACCCTCCTGCTCACTTACCAATCTCTCCATGGACTCTCACCAAAATACCACACAGACCTCCTCCATCCCTACAGGGCTTTCTCTGGAACCGTGTACCACTCCACGTCCGCTCTGCCCCATCCCCGGCCATGTTCACAATACAACTTAAAACATTTCTTTTCATGAAGTCTTTTGACCCCTAACCCCTTGCATGTTCTCTTTGTAAACGTTACGTGTGACCTTTCAACCTGATTATGTAATGTGTGTCGCATCACAGCTAGAGCAAGACCAGCATTTGTTGTTTGAAAGTATATATCTTTTTATTTTGTTATAAAATGGCGGATGTTTGACTCTTATTCCTCAGCTGGGATTGTGTCGAGATAAGTAAATTATCAAGACATTTTAAATCTAAAGTGAACTACTCCTTTAACAGAGTTGCGCTGCCTATACACGTAATTATCTTTTATATGAGCTATTTTCACATGGATTGTGATCGAATCAAAATATGTGATATTTTCCAACAATGCACTTTTCTGTCAGGGATATTTGGTTATGTTTGTTCATAGTTTCACTTTCATGGACTTTTAGTTATTATTCATTGGTTCCTGTCTTCCTAGTAAAGTAGAAGTATAATAGTAATATAGTAGTATAATAGAAATAGTAATTTAGTAGTATAATAGTAATAGTACCTCGCAGAAGGACATGCAGGTGTTCAGTTCTCAGTGCGATCGACAATCATACTGAGTAAGTTTATAGATGTAATATTTTACAGGCGAAATATAGCCTATTTGTGTTTTCATCGTCATAATGTAAAAGTTCCTATTCTTGAGTGAAATTACAAAAAAAAAAAATAATAATTTATCCATAGCCATTAGTGATTGATAATGATAATACAGTTTCTTTTTTTATTATATATTTTTTTCTATAAAATGCAAACATCCATGTACATCCATTTTGCTCACATATTATTGTAGCAGAGTTTGTACTGAATACAGCATAATTATATGTTGGCCAATGGTTTATTGTAAGTAACTGAAAGAAGCAACAGTAATCAACAGCTTCTGTTCTTAGAGTTGGAACTGCTCCATCTTTCAGGACAAGCCGGTGTGCGAATCCTGCATTCAACGCGCAAAGATTGTGGAAGATTTCCTCCGTAAAATGCGCTCCTCCGTGGGATTTGGGTAATAATTATGAGGGACCGAGTTCAAAATGAAATGTATCCATTGATCCCTAACTCCCGCAGGAAGGCTGAACAAAGTGGACCTGCAATCCAGATGAAAAACAGCGTTTCGACGGCATTGCGGCAACAACACTCCAGCCTACTATACCACAGCAACTCTTCTCCCACTTTATTTATTTAGTCTTCTCGGAGGAGGGGTTTATGTAAATATCGGGTTAGTGACGTCAGCAACCCTGGAGGAATGTCGTGTAGTCCTTATCGGCCGTTTGCTGTAGTTCTTAGAAACTGATTTCTTTAAAAGCAATATCTGCCTTTGCTTTAAACTTTGAGCGTTGTAACTTCACAGATGTTGATTATGTTTAAACAGAAACATCACACACTAGCTAAAGTTAGAAAAGTGCAATCGTGTTTTACCACCCCTTTTAGAATGGTTTTCATAAAGAAAAATGCATGTTTAACTTGTTCAAGGCTTTGAATCGAATGTTTATTTTGACTTTCAGGCCCTGTTTACACGAGAACGATTCCGGGTGAAAACGTAAAAATATTTTTTCCGATGTGCCTTTCGTTTACACAGCGACGGCGTTTTTGGGGCTTGAAAACGCATAAAAGTGAAGCCACCCTCCAGAGTGGAAATCTTTAAAACGCTCCACCGCCGCGTTCCCGTGTAAAGGGTAAAAACGCAAAAGTCTGCTTGACAGTGAAGGTTGCACACAGGTAGGTGGACTTGGTGTTGTTGTAGTATGCACTCTTAGCCGCCTGAAGTGCATACTACATTAAATTTCACACAGTTTTGCGTCATCATCTGCACGCGGATTTCCCACCCAAAACGCTCGTCTAAACGCAGAATAAAAAGTGATAAAGCAACGCCACTTTCGCATTTTCTCTTCAGATCGTTTCCGTGTAAACATAGCCTCATATGAATAAATACAGTAATATTTGACAGTAAATGCATCATACTCTGTTTCTTATAACTTGTGACGACATGAACATGAGTGTAATAATGTGTGATGCAGATGATAACACTTCACAACACAGTTAGACAATTATTAATATTTAAAAAAATAAGAAACAGTTCTATAAGCTTGTTATATATCACTGAACTAACAATGAACTATATTGTGATTGTCTTCATTAACTTTAAACGTGATAAATAGGCCAGGTTTTAAAATATTGCTCAATGTACTACAAAGTGACTTTACATATTTAAATAGTGTAGATCTCCGTGTAACTCAATGAAGGAGAATCCCAGTCTGAAACAGCTGGCCCATAACTGTTAGTGGTTAAGAGGAACACACTGATCTGTGTGGGCTAGTCTGCCTCTGCGTGTGTGTGTGTGTGTGTGTGTGTGTGTGTGTGTGAGATGTTTAGTTAGACATTACCCGGAAACTGCGGCTTCGACAGACAGGAGAGAGAGGCAGAGCTGACTCGATCCTCGTCAAACTGCGCTCCAGATCCAGATCCAGTTCCAGATCCAGTTTCAGGTCCAGATTCAGATCCAGTTCCAGGTCCAGCTATAGTCAGGGTTTATGTGGAAGGACGCAAACTTTACTCGGACCCTGGCGGACTGCGACCGAAGACGGACACACACATAACGGTCAGACTTTCTTCATACTCATTCTCTTCAGTCAATTGCATGCATTATGATTTAAACCTGAGTGCGCGAGTTTATTGGCTGGTTTAGAATAATCGCAGAGCCTAATGTACTTTTAATGACGTCTGAATTAAATTGTGTGTAAGCAGATGTACGAAAACATATTTATGTGGATGTTGTGAAACACTGAACGAGGCTGAGCTTTGCTGATCTCCTATATCCCAGTATCAACACTTTATATCATGGCCACATATTAGAGTTCAGTTCCGACTGCTCAGATCAGATTCTACACTTTAAATGTTTTAAAATTGCACATGTAATGAAATGAAAGTCGACATCAAAGAAACGCATAAAACATGATCAATATTGAAATGCAGTGTTCATTTGTAAGTTAACTCCAGCCTTTATTTGTATAGTTCTTTAATCTCATAACATTCTGTTAAAACTGTGTGACTTTGAACATTAATGTTATGTAAGCCTATTGTTGTACAGTGGAAGTCGACGGGGTCCAATGTAGTTCACAAGTTTTTTAGATTATCTCAAATTTACATTATGTTCTGCAAGAGAAAGAAATGAATGACAGAATTTAAAATTTAATCCCTTTAAACGTTGCACTCAAATCTTTAAAGGTAATAAAATACGTAAAATGGTAAGTTGCTTTTGAAATAAACAGCAATTTAAAGCTGAAAGTCCATCGCCCTTCATTACAGTAAACTACTAAACCTGATTAACATGAGGGGAATCTCTCTCCACTTCTCCAATATAAAGCCAAACACTCATCTAATGACTGTGCTTGAAACTGTATTATGTTTTTAATTCATAATTGTCCATGGGGCAACATGTGGACCAGTAATTGTGTGTTGGTAATTGTATTTGTTTATTTATTAATGGATATTTTGTGGCCAGGCATTCAGTAGTTTGACCTCATGTATGTCCTCATTCGGCCAATCTAATTACAGGCAACATCTTATAAAGCATCTGCAATATTAAAGATTTATGTATTTGAATTATTGCCATCCAACTCAGTTGTAATTAAACAAATGAACTTAATGTGACGCACATCTGTCAGTCAGTCAATCAAACAAACACATTATGTGCTAAACTAAACGGTTGTATATATTTATCATCACTCAATCAAAATTATTATATATAAACCAATCTCATACATTATAGATTGTTAGCTATAAAAATAGCAGTTAGCCATATTTTAACAATATTCACACTTTTTAGCTGCTTATTTTTTTCATAATGAACAGATTTATGCTGATTCCAATGAATCTAATATTGTTATTTAAATAAAATCATTATTTATTTATTTTTTTGCAATGGATGCAAATACTATATATATATATATATATATATATATATATATACACACACATATATATATATATATATACATACATTTATTATGTTTTATTCTAAATAGCAATGACAAGCACAATGAAACAGGACGGTGTTTAATGAAATAGAATTATATATGTCTTGCATCTCTTGATTTAAGTTCAGTATTCTTTATTTCTAGCTCACAGCCAAACTGTCCTGGACTGAAACATTCTTCAATGTGCAAATTAAACAATAACAAAGCACAATTATTTTTGCCCCAATTAAGTTCAGAAGTTGCATACAGGACAATAAAATACAATTCTATGGATTCCATATGTGAAACTTTTTTAAAATACATATTAATGAAATGTGCAAGTATTACTGATAAAAAGCAGTATTTCCCTTTAATGACGTTAGCATAACATGATTATGTTAAAGAAGTGCTTGCGAATCTTTCATGTCCGTCTTCAGTCCACCGTCGCTGGATCTGATCACGCAGATGTGGACGTTTCTGCTATTACATAAGTCCCATTACAACAGCATTGTTGTTTCTCCAGAAACTGTAGTTTATCAGATTTGTCGAGTTCCTGCTAAGGAAGTTTCGTGTGTTGAATGTGAGTTAGTTTGTTTTCTCTTTGTCTGCTAATAGTACAGATGGACATCAGCCATTTTGGCTTTTTACATGTTTTCATGTTGTAGTAATGTCTATTGCCCAGGATTAAATAAACAATAATAAATGTCAGCTCACAATTCAGACTTTTTCTTGCAATTTCAAGCTTAAATCTAGTAAAAATAAAAAAAAACTCAGAATATCAACATATAAGTTTTTAATTGTTAGATAACTGTTTAATTGAGAGATAAAAAGTCGCAAATTACCCTTTAAAATATATATATATATATAATATTGTGCAAATTTTGTAAATGAGACAAATGCAATCATTAAGACTCAGTGAAATAAATCTGTCTCCTCTCCACCAATAAGCTGGTGTGTGTGTGTGTGTGTGTGTGGTGGGCGTTCGGGTGGAGCTGCACACTGGTGGTGTTGAGGAGATCCCCCCTCCTCTATGTAAAGCGCATTATCATTTCTTTACTGTTTCTTTGATGTAAAACTAACAAGCTGTCTCCTCTATAATACTCACACACTCACTCACTCAATCACACACGCTCTCACACACTCACTCTCTCTGTCTCACACACACACACACGCACTCGCTCACTCACTGTGCCTGGGCTAAATCCAGTGACGCCCCCTTGCAGTGATGTTGTGTAACTGCATGATCAGTAGATGAGTGTGATGTGTGTGATCAGGCGTGTGTGTGTGTGTGTGTGAGCTCTGCTGGATCTCGACTCGGCTGAATCTCCTGAAAGCGGTTGAGAACGGCTCACAGTGGGAACAGTCAGACGCTAAAATTGTTTGAAAGTTGCTAGCATTTTTTGTATGAAATACTTTCAAGGGAAAAAAAGAATGATATTTCAATTTCAGAGGCCTGAAAATATTAGAAATAAAGATAAATGTTTTCCCAAGTTCAAGTTGTGTGTGCCCAAATTCTGTCTGGAGAGTCTGGAGTCCTTTCATTTTCATTGTATTGTTTATTTTTACAGGGATAGTGCACAATTAAAAGTAATTGCACCAGACGCTGTCCCTGGGCAGTTAAACAAGTAAAATAACATACATTACATACGTATAAACACCACATAAAACATCACAATACGTACATGTGCAGAATATACAATGTAAAACCAGAATATAAAGCAGAGAGTGTACAACACAGTCATGAGTGTTTGCAGATCTGTGCTGTCTATGAAGGGAGCACACAGGTTCAGTGTTGATGCATCTGCTGGTTATACAGTTCGACAGGAGATGAGGAATCAGAGAAGTGCAGCTGATTCAGAGAGATGGTGCCTGATGCTTTTACAATTAATCAAATTGAATTGAACATTATTTATAACCCTTTTTACTTTTGGTTTTTAAGAGACAGCTGTTGGTCTATTATTATTCCTATATATTTAACAAAATTTGATTGCTTCACCATTAAACATGATATCTGGATTCACCGAGTTTTGTTTTCGCGCAGTGAAATACGTGCAGACTGTTTTACTTGCGTTTAGAGACACACAAGACTCATTCAACCAGTTTGGGACTTTGACCATTGCAGATGTCAGTTTGTTTGCAACTAGTTCTTGCATGAGTAAAAAGCACAGTATCATCTGCATACACTATAACATCATTACCTGGACATGCTTGAGGCAGATCATTAATATAAATACTAGATAAAATCGGTCCTAAAATCGACCCCTGAGGAACCCCCGTAGGTTGTGATGTTACGTCTGATGCCGACGCTCTGAAGCTTCGAACTCGAACGGTCCTTGCAATGAACCACTGCATTACGTCACTAGTCACGTGAAATGACGTCTGAAGTCCCGACTCCTGTAGTGAACCGCCTGACTGCTCCGACAGCCCGATCCGCGTTAGTAGTCGGCGTTTGGATTGGCGTTATTATTGAGAGTGGATTGAGTTTATTTTAGTGTTGTGATGGAGCCAGCGAGAAAGAGAAGTCGTTCGCAAGTTTGGGAACGCTTTAAACTTATTTTCCTGAATAAGATTAGTTCTTTGACATTCCTGCATACAAATATTTTTACATATGTAGTGAATGATGTAGAGCAGTGGTTCTCAAAGTGGGGTCCGCGGACCCCTGGTGGTCCGCGAGCTAAAGCCAGGGGGTCCGCGAAATAATTTACAACCTAACGTTTTTTTCCATGCTATGAGTCATGTTTTCTTTATCATCTGAAAACATGCTGTTTATTCCTAAGTAACTTATATAAAGCATTTAACATAAAACAATACAAAGTAGACACTTAAAGTTTTCTATAGATATATAATCTATGTCTTTGCGTCAAGTAGATTCGCTGCTGTTGATTTTGCGGGACGTGCGCCAGAAAGGAGACAGAGAGACGGCATGAACCCGCATCCGGTTCTTTTCTGTATTTTTAAAAGGCATGACATTTTGTAGTCATTTATAATGTAGCCTATACACAAATAAAAAAAATGGACACTTTACCGTTTCGGATGATGCACTCTTGTCTTATCTATGACCATAAATAAGAGTAGGCTATTCCTGTTTCCACTGCTGAGGAAAAATTCCCATGTAATTGCGCGCCGGCGTCTCGCGTGCGCGCACAATAGTCAGTTCTAGCACTGCTACTGTAGATTTGACATTAGAAGTCTGATCATTATCAAAATAAAAGTGCATAGTGACAGGGCCGTACCCACAATTGAGGTTGCAAGGATGCACATCGCGATGATAACTGACCTTCTCGTCTGAGGTGCTTCAGCAGACTAACAACGATAGCTCGTCAATGTCAAAATGTTTGAGTCGGAGTGAACTCAAAGTTCCCCGCACGACGTTTCAGTCAACGGTCATAAAGTGCGAGATAAGATGTAGGCCTTAATTAACATAAACTAAACAGCTGTTTTAGATAAAAGTTTTAAAAAACGACTGAAACAATCAGTTTGCAAAGTATTAATCAAGCTCAACTTTAACAAAGGAAAAAGCAGGTCAATAGAAACATACTGTGCCCATGAGATTAACATTATGGATTCATATATTTAACATATACTGTATGTTTTTTTTAGCTAATTACAGTAGCTCAAATTAACAACGCACACACCTATTAAACATAATGCCATTATCATTGTATTTATAGGCTTATGGGCTTTATTTGTGTGCAGAATAGGCCTAATTATTGAAACATTTCTCTTTTAAGGCCATTCCTGATTGGAATATGTGATTGTGTTTCGTGACATCTTGACAAAAAAAAAAAATGTATGCCACTGACTGACATGCTTCTACTAAATCTATAGTTATCCAATTGTGGGGCCTTAAAACACCTTAAAATGCACATGTGTAGATCAAGAACATCAAAAATTCCTAAGTGAGGGATCCTAAGTGATTCCTAGCAAGATCACTTTCGTTACCTCAGTAGGCTATTTAGAAATTCCTGCATAGTACCCTGGGTGGAGACCATTCATTTTGTGCAAAAATATTTCATTTGCCGCTCACACATTAACTTTGTGCTCAATAACTGTTATAAATATGAGGGGGGTCCTTGGAATTTTTTTTCCCCTGAAAGGGGTCCCTGGCACCAAAATGTTTGAGAACCCCTGATGTAGAGAAAGACAGAAAAAAAAAACAACTTCTGCTACATCATTCAAGCTCAACCATTTACACAAGCACATCCTTTTCAACATATACACAAACACCAGTCCCACCAGTTAACAAGTTATAGTGTTCTGCTTCCCACAGGAAAGAAGCAGTAATGTAATGGTTTCTATAGTCATGGGTTTCCATTACAGAAATTCTATTGGATTTAATGGTTTTCATGGGAATTATAGTGGTCTCAGTAGACTGTAGTGGTTTAAATGGTAAAAGCCAATGCTTCCTATTGGTATTTTAATCGAAACCATTAGAATTTCTGTGATGGTTTCCAACTTTTTTTAAGCTGGTCTGATCTTTTGTCTTTGTCTAAAGAAATAATTACACACACACACACACACATCATGCTTAATGTTTTATTGTCAAAGTAAACACATGAAATTCATCAGTATCTGTAAAATTCACCTACATAAATTAGCTTCACAGCACTAACACTGTTTCAGCTTCGATCGCTTCGGTAAACACGGTTTATATTCGGTAATAGTAAGATTTTCAGGACAACTCCACCTCAGTGATGTCATGAGTTACGGCCAATCAGAGCAAGGCATGGGTTGAGGTCACCGCGTAAATCTTATTTTTGTTCTATTTTTAAATTTTTTCTCAGAGCAAATCATCGCGCAGACAGTTTGCAGCACTAGTTTCTGTCTGACGTCCATATTCACGTGTTGTGTTTCTTCATCTTCTTTGCTGGGTTTTGGCGCGCGTGCTGTTACGCGTCATTTCCGGTTTGTTTTACTGCATGATTTTTTCTGACAGAACGTGGTTTGTAGACAAGATAGAATCGTTGGGCGACAGTTGTTGTCAACTGGTGTAGTGCGTTACCTCCTGTTGCGGATCAATCACGTTGTGTCGTGTGGTGTGTGAACAGCTCAACAACTTCAACACTACAGGGGCTCGTTCTTCGTACGCTGCTTAAAACATCCGAAATCAAATGAGACATCTAAGATAATATCATCGTGCTAATCATGATCCGGCTAATTGGGTTCTTCGAACACACCTGTTGTTTATGATTAGTATCGCTGGATTGAGTTATCTGAGATAACTGCGCGTTCTCGCGTTGGTTTAAAAGGGGACATGTATCGATAGCAGAACCAGTGATCAGCAACGCTGCTATTGGCTGTTCAGCATGGCCAAAGAACACGCCCAGTTTTTCTCCCAAGCAGAGCAAGCGCTTTTAATGCAAGGTTATGCCGAATTTCAGTCTTTAATTAAAACATCAGGAACACCTCAAAGTGTGCAAAAGCAGGAGAGAGTGCTGGCAAAACTAGAAGACAAATCAAGTGCGTTTGTGGTGGCCATTTTAGATGTTTTAATAACTTATTATAATTGTTTTATTTTTATTTTCATGCCAGTCAAAAGATATCATGACAACTGCAGATATAGGAGACCCGTCAACAGAACGTGAACCCCCTCCTCTTTCACTGAAGTCGCAGGTGTGGAAGGTTTTTGGATTTCCAGTGAGTAATGTTGACAACGTTCGCGCTTCAATAAAGCCACAGTTTGCAGAAATCCCAAGTCTCGTGGATGTGCTGGGAGTCTCCCGCATATTGATAGCGGCTCCCTGATGCACACAAATTAGTTAAAATCTCCCGTAATCTAGAGTGAGCGAGCAAGAGCGAATGTTCATGCCGAGACAAAACTGTGCTCCAAACCGTACTGCACACGGCAGAGAGAGAGAGAGAGAGTATGAAAAACAATATGAGGACATGAACACATCCAGAGCTGCTGTCTGAGAGAACGTCTAATGAACATTTTCATCATTTTATTTGAGAAAAAGCATTGTCAAATACACTCTGAAACACGTCCTCACTACAACCCCCTTAAAATAAAAGTTCTTGAAGGAATTAGTCAAGTCACCTTCATTTATAAAGCACTTTTAACAGTATGGATTGTTTCAAAGCAGCTTTACATTGATAGTGGAAATGACCATAACAGATTGTTGAGGCTGTACAACAGCATTAGGATAAAGTTATTGTCCAGCTAAAGTTAGTTTTGATTGATTCACTTCTGTTGCGAAGATCATTAGTTATTAACTATAGGGCCGCTAACACGACACCGCTCTAACAGAAAACACTAAACGCAAATTGAAATTCCAATGGAAACACGTCAATTGCGTCAACAGTGAGCACATATCAATGTTATATGAATTGAATATTTATATTTTGAAAAATCTTCTTTCTTTCTTATTTCAGACACCAGTGCAAGAATGGATACGCAGAACACGACATCTCCTACGTTTAATAATTCAGAGTGTCCATCAATTGATGACTTCCGTAACCAAATCTATTCCACGGTATACTCTGTGATCACCGTCTTTGGGCTGATGGGCAATGGCTTCGCTCTCTACGTGCTCCTCCGCACCTACCGGCAGACCTCCTCGTTCCACATCTACATGCTGAACCTGGCCGTGTCAGACCTGCTGTGTGTCAGCACGCTGCCCCTACGGGTGCTCTACTACATCAACAAGGGCCAGTGGAACCTGGGGGACTTCCTCTGCCGGCTCAGTTCCTACGCCCTGTACGTCAACCTCTACTGCAGTGTCTTCTTCATGATGGCTATGAGTTTCACCCGCTTCCTAGCAATCGTGTTCCCGGTGCAGAACCTGAGGCTAGCCACCGAGAAGAAGGCATGGCTCGTTTGCGTGGGCATTTGGGTGTTCATTTGCTCCACCAGTTCACCCTTCCTCCTCTCTGGTCAGCATTTTGATCCAAAGACAAACAAAACCAAGTGTTTCGAACCGCCAGAAACGGTACGCAGCCTCGATAAACTAGTCATGCTGAATTACTTTTCCCTGGTGGTGGGTTTTATTATACCTTTCCTGGTTATCTTGCTGTGTTACGCAGGCATCTTGCGCACTCTACTTAGAAACAGTAACAGTGTGAACAAGCAGCGTTACACGCGGAACAAGGCCATTCGGATGATCGTCGTGGTGATGCTGGCTTTCTTGGTCAGTTTTATGCCCTATCATATACAACGCTCGCTGCACCTCCACTTCAAGGGCCGCAAGGACACCACCTGCGATGAGGTCATCTACATGCAGAAGTCTGTGGTCATCACCCTCTGCCTGGCTGCCGCCAACTCCTGCTTTGACCCAATGCTCTACTTCTTCTCCGGAGAGAACTTCCGTCACCGCCTCTCCACCTTCCGCAGGGCTTCGGGAAACATGTCTTTAACTCACCGAGGCCGGCATGCTGTCCGAAGCTCCCCGCCTGTGGAGGAGAGTGAGCTGCAGTCCTGTAAGAGTGCAGACAAACTTGGGTAGAGGCAAGGAAAATGAAGTAGCAGAAGCAGATTTCAATAAAGAAAGCTTATTCTCCAAAGTAGTATTAATAATAATCAGAGATTCCCATGTACTACATTCCAGTATTAAGACAAATAGATCTTGTGCATGCCTGGATTAATATGCATTTCTATAATTATGGGAATATCTTTGCACGTAAAAAATATATATATATATATTATGGCATATAAATCATTTTCTAAAAGCATTTCATAATTCTGATATCTGAACCCACAGTAAGTGGTTATTGGATGTGGTCTGGTATTCATTATTTGGCAATTTAGAAGAACACTTAATATATAAACAGATTGCTTTCTAATCTGCACTTATGACAGCGTTTTGGGATGTATCAACGTAAAAGCTTATTTTATTGAAAAGAACGTATTTTGAAAACGAATGTAGGACCTTAGAGCAAAACAGACAGAGATGACATCAACACTGTACAGGAGAGAGAAAGAGTGGAATCAGCACTCCAGGACCCGGACCATAACCGGACCCTGGCCGTGTGGCACCAGTCGGACTGAGCTAACTAGACCACTGTATCGATTAAGCCTCCTCCAACGCAGAGAACCCAAGACAGATGGGTCGGGAGATGTACGTTTAAGACAGAGGGGCGAGAGATCTCAAATATTTCACTGTCATCTTTCAATCACTCATTATGTGTAACTATTGAGTAGTTTAAGCATGTGATGTTTGGTACATGTGTTATTGTTCATTAATTTCCCAAATGTTCATATTAATCAATTCTGTGTAAAACATGGTATTCTGAAGTAAAATGAAGAAGTGTAGAGTATAAGGAAATATAAACACAGTACAAATGCAGTCCATTACAGTTCATCCGCAGTACAACGATGAACAAGTTGAGTAATGCCTCATCTGTTTTTGGTTTTGTGTCATGTGTTTTAATGTCTTTTATTTTGGTGTTTGGTTCATGTCGTGTGATTGGCTGTCCCCCTCTTCAGTTCTCATTAGGTGTGTTCGACTTCCACCGGATGTTATCGATCGGTGAGATTTGCTACTTGCAGTTGGAGAGTTGAAACCCATTGTGACGCTCATGCAGTGTTTGCGTGCTTTATTATTTATTAATAAGTCTATTAAATGCAATATGTGGAAAATTCACAGAAGTTTTCATGAAGCAACAGAAACACTTTCATTCAATACTTTATGCATTGCTAAATACAGCGCCTGTATGTACAAGATACGGTTCAACATAAGCCTATACTATTTAAACAAAGTAGGTCTGTATACTTTTGATCCGGTTTATTTTCATAAACATGACACAATATAACATAACATTTCGAATTTGTGAGCATCGGCTGAATGTATTAGAACAAACACACATGATTGTTGTCATGGTGGATTCGGCTGATCGTGATCAGAGAGACTGAATCTCTCGATTACTCTGGCGGCGTACACGGCTTCACGTCAGACGCGGAGGGATCGGGACAGCACTGCATCGAGTCGAACACACCTAAAGAACCATGCTCCTGCTATCTTGTTTAGTAGTTCAGGGTTTATGTTCCACAGTTTTGGATCATTTAAAAGTAAATAAACTACACTTGGGCTTCTACACCATCGTCTTCATCTGCTCCTTTTCCAGGCGGTGTTACAGATCACATGACCAGCCTTGACCCCAGAAGTCTGTCTCCTTCGATCACTCCCTAGAGGAGTTGTGGACTGGGGTACAGGTGACTGTTTAATGATGTGGCCTTAAAAGGCATTTTTTACTTTGGCTGGGATTTTTCCATACGCTCACTCAGTTCATATTTGTGCTTCTGCATGTTTGATTAATGAGGCCCCAGAGCCCTCTTACGTGTGCCTCCTCCTGGTTACTGTAATGCTTTATATGCTGGAATTAACCAGTCTTCACTATCACGTTTACAACTGGCAGAGAATGTCGCAGCTGGTTTTTAAACTGGGATAAAAGAGGAAGCGTATCTGGCCTATCTTAGCTCCTCTTCGTTGGCTACTGGAGCAGTGCAGGGTTGATTTTAAAATTTTAGTTTTTGTATTTGAAGCTTTCCTGTGCTCTGAATCTCGCTCTTTCGGAGGCCTCAGTCTTCGACAGCACATTGACCGCTTCAGTGCAGATGGCACAGCGATACGGCCCTGCTTCCTCAGCTAGCGTGTGCCTCTGTTTAATCCTGGATTTCAGAGTGAGGTTCAGTATGAATGAACAGCTTCTGCAGGAAAACAAAATAGGCAGCAGCCTCTGGGCAGCATTTCCAGCATCTGCTACCACCAGGTTTAAAGAGTGTGTTGCACATGGCACAACAATGCCTTTGGGTTGATTTCCAACAGTCTGGCTTGGACACCTTTCTTTTTTTTTCCTATCATATTTGCCCCATTATCATACGACTGCTATCTTCAAAAGAGATGTTGAGCTCTTGCTGGGTCTTTAGACTGAGGGATGATTGGGTTTCTCCAGTAGATTCTTTAGACTCAAGGAACCGTGTGCTGCTATGTTCCGGATTACTCCCATGGCTTTCCCAATCATACACTTCTCTGGTAATTAGATTATAATCTCTATTTGAGAAGATCTTACAACAGAATCAGTAAAGACTGTTGGCTTCTTTAGAATAGACCAGCCAGCTTCTTTCAATGTTTCCCAACACATCTCCCAACTTCTCTCTTCAGAAGTATGAAGTCTGGTGTCGCCTGCCATGGTCCTCTGTGCACTAGTTGAGGTCTTGAAGCCTGTAGATGTGTAGCAGAATCCACAACACACAATCATCTCTAATTAAAGAGCCCCTATCATCCCAGATAGCAGACTGACATTGAATCAACGTGGAAATATGACATCGAAACAACGTTGATCTGACATTGTTTTGCTCATCGAATTAACGTTGAACCAACGTCAGACGCGTCATTCTTTCAAAACTAACGGAAAATCAACTTGAAATCAACGCGTTGTTTCAACGTTATGAAAGCAAACCAATTTTCGATTTTCATTTAGCTTTGAAGAATGCCGCGTCTGACGTTGGTTCAACGTTAATTCGATGAGCAAAATCAACGTTGTTTCAATGTCATGAGAGACGTCGTTTCCACGTTGATTCAATGTCAGTTTGCTGTCTGGGATAGCATTTGAAATGTTCCTATTTTTGTTTTAGGAGTTCCCAAAAAGGATAAAAAACACTTTGTCTTATAATATGCATTTATTTTTACCTGATTTGCTCAACGACTCCCAAATGATTCGTTCGACGATTCATTTTCCCAAACACGGAAAATGCGGCGATTGGTCACATGACCCAGTCAGTTGTTATTGGTAAACCGTAGGCAGAGACTGTCGGCAACGGAGCGCCCGTAACCAGGATTATAGCTCGTCAAGTGTTGAAAATTGTATATAGTGTTTGAACAAACGTGTCAGAAAAAGTGCACTTTCCACACGGCCCCTTACTCGCGTCTCCGTCAAGAGCGAGCTTTCCCGGCGAAACTCACATTGCGGCGGCTTTAAGGGGCAGTGCTTATTATATAGAGCGAAGTCAGATTTGGCTAAGTCGTTTAGGAGGTAATTGCCATTTTTCAGTGAATGTCTGGTGAATATCAAAAACAAAACTAACTTTACCCCGCTTAGAAGCTGCGCGGAGTGTACACAACACACACAACACAATATAACTATAGTGTGCATGCTACAGAAAACATAACAGCAAACATTATTAATATTACTAACAGACTGTGATTCAGAGGAAGACGAACCTGATCCATATACACTGGATTGCAAATATTACTCGTTGCAAATATGAACTCTGAGCACTGACTCTTCACATGCTCGTCCCTGGACAATGGAAACAAGTGGCTAAACTGTCTTTGCAATGTAGAACAGCGTCTCCTCGACATGATTCAGCTGAAGTATTTGAATGTGTTCTAGACGTCACTTCAAGTTTACACTCCCGTCTGCACGCAGTTGTTGGGAGCGGCCAATGACCTCTCTACGTCACGACGAAACAGCTAATGACTCGTTTCAAAAACAATTCATTTCATAATCCATGTTTCCATCCACTTGTCAATCGAATTATCTGAAATTCGGTTAAAAAACTCATGCGGATAAAGCTGGTGAAAGTGTGTTTCCATCCAACGGCTTTAAAGCGAATAAAAACCTGTACGTAATGACGTCACATGCTGTTTTGCGATCAAATTGGTATATCGAATTGATTTGAGACATTTTAAGGTGTTTCCATTTATTTTCGCACTGAATCGAACAACATTCAAGCAAAGTTTTGTTAGACAAAACGGATCGCGCCATCTACCAAAAATGATCAATATTTCACAAGTTGAAGGCTAATAATGCTTATGTGCCAGCTGATAGCGACATATGAATGGGATAATGTATGCGAGGCGGTTGTTTGTTGTATTCGCCTCACAACCGCCTCGCTATATATTATCCTGCTTATTAGCCTACATATAAATCAACCAAATAAATAAATAAATTAATCATTTGACACAAAATATTGACTTAAAAACGAGTTTATTGATTTAAAAACGAGTATTGCTTCTGCTAAAGAAAATAGTCTGTTCCGTCTCTGAACTGCGTCCATGGCAACGGTGTGTTTTAGCAGCGCCGCAGTCTGTTAACTAGAAATAACAGACCACATTATACATTACAATTCAACCAAGCCACGTAAAAACAAGCAAAACTAACCTAAGAAAACAGCGACGCTATAAACATTGCTATGATGATGCCGATGCCCGTATGCCCGACGACAGCGGAGGTGACTGTGGTTTGGGAACGACAGCGCTCCATCAGTTCTGGGAGATCGTGGTTCACAGAAACCCTTTGGTTGTTGCATCTTTTTGCTTTGTCCACTTACGTCTGTCTTTGTTGACGTCATCCGCCATGTGTGCGCAAACAGACTGTCCGGAAATGAACTCGTCTTCTGACGTGTTGCAACCATAAAAGGGCATAAAACTTAATTGCAATTCATTATTTATTCGGCAAATAACGTTTCCATCAGCTTTTATCGCCTTAGTCGTATATCGATCAAGAGAAAATTCGATGAGACCGAACGTATTTCATTTGAGTCGATTTTCATGAAATTTCATCGAATTTTACTGTTTCCATGAGGCATTTTTCATTCGATATCACTTAATTCGGATAAAAACGTGTCGATGGAAACATGGCTATAGACTCAGAGTCGACTCTCACTTTTGAAAGACAATAACTTCATATACGGTGCACATTCAGATATAAATCTTTGCAGGATGTTTTCATTCCCTTAGAGCTATATTCCACACTACATGAACAGTCATTCTCAAAAATCCATGATAGGGGCTCTTTAAGCTAGTTTAAAGTTTAGAAAAAAAAAGATTTTTGAAGGACACTGTCATTGTTTTTATTCAGTGCCACATCTTGTCAAGGAAACTCGGCCTATAGGGTTAACTCTTCTATTTGTTTTGTATTCCT